TTAATTGATTATAATATATTAATAATATATTATATATATGTTTGATTCTTCGTTATTTTTAAATCAAAGATTATAAATATAATTATTTAACAAACAAACAAAAAAAAAAAAAATTAAATAAAAATAATCCTCTCGAGTTATATTTATATGTTTAAGTAGTTACAGATATGTATAAATATTATCGATAATCAAAAATAAATTTACGCCTAACTATTGGTAATGACGTCATTCCGGATCCGGCGCTTGATCGGCATAACCTAACTTTTGTAAAACCGCTTTTATATCATGGAACACTGATCGATCCTCGATCGTGCCAGGTATCTGAAAAAAATTATTCGTTAGGTTTGAAAAAACTTTGATACCCCCCCCCTCTCTCTCTCTCTCTCTTTGTCACTCTTTATTTTCAAATTACCTTAACTTTTTCAGAACGTGCCAATTTCGCAATGGATTTGCGCATAATTTTGCCGGAACGTGTTCTGGGTAAATTTTTAACCGCACCGACGATCCTAAATGATGCGATTGGACCAATCAATTGTCTAATATTAAGTATCAATTCTTCATCGATTATTTCATCTTTCGTTGTTGTGTCTGAAATAATACGAATTTATCAGTATCGTCATACGAAAAAAGCATTTTTCTTAAAGTTCATTCATTTTGATAAATATTTTTCGTTTAATTCATTGACCTACGCCATTTTGTTTAACAAAATTCACGAAATTAGACACACGTGATACATTAAGGGGTTACGTGAGTTTGAGACTTTCAAAAAAATTTTTTTTTTTTTATTTTTGTTTTCAATTCTACAACTCATCTAAAATATTGTATTCAATTTTGAAGTCGATAGGAGTATTAGTTTTAAAGATAGAGCCCTGGGAAGTTGCACTTTTTAATGGCTCTTATACCAACACTCAAATCTTTAAACGCGTTTTTCTCAAAACGCATTTTCTAAAGTCGTTTGTCAAGATTTCTCGAAAACTATTGAACCGATTTTCATGAAATTTGCTACACGTCTTCGTGATACTATTGACAAGGACTTGGACAAAGGATTTTCGTTTTTTTTCATAAAATCGAATTTTAAGAAACCAAAATGTAGTGGAAATTGTAGCGAAATTTGAATGTTCTTGCTAARAACGTTRCYRAAAATCYAAATTTYAATTTTTTTCTTTTTCCTTCGTCCAGTTTCTAGTTTTAAGTATTCACTAAAAGACCCTATTTTTTCAACAGAAAAACCCCCACCNGTTCTGCTGTCAACGCGAAAACACTTTTTTTCGGTGGGGTCACCGGAAATGACGTCGCAATGACTGAGTTTAAAATATTTTTCAAGCAAAAATTCAGAAAATCTTCTTTAAATATGTATCTTAAATACTATAAAAAGTTTGAATAAGAATTGCATTTTTTATATAGAAAAAAAAATTGTTGAAAATATGCTAATTTTTTCCCGATGTAAACCCGTGTAACCCCTTAATATAACGAGTCACACACGTTATACATTAATATTACGAGTCAGATACGTGATATAATTATTTGAAATGAAACGTTAACATCACGAATCAGATTCTTTGAAGTAAGAAAAAGGATTTAACGTCACGTCAGTTCGATATAAAGGATATGCATAGAAATAGATGGGTAGATGAAATATGCAATAAGTTAAAAACCTTGATGCTTGACGTAAAGGCAAAGTGGGACTTCGCCTTTAGTAAGATCTGGAACACCAACTACTGCGGCATCAGCTACGTCAGGATGCGCTAAAATGATGTCTTCAAGAGCGGAGGTCGATAAACGATGTCCTGCAACGTTGATTATGTCATCGTCACGAGAAGTTACATAAACGTAACCATATTCGTCTATGTAACCGGCATCCATTGTATCGTAATATCCCTATAAGTAATATGTGTTATTAAAATAAGTATTATAAAGCATTACAAAATAATAATAATAATAATAATAATAATAATAATAAAAAGGCATGCTTTTAAAATAAATGATATATTTTAAAAGCCGTCCCTGAATTTACTCAAGAGAAATTTTTTTCTTCTTCTTCTTTTTTATATTGCCTAAATTAAAACATTATTTTTACACGTTGCATTTACGCGGACAGAATATATATATATGTAACAATTTTTTTTTTTTGTTAGAAATTATAAGTTACAAGTGTGTACATTTTTGATTATTATTTTAATACCAAAGCATTGATATTTTATTTAATATTTAGACGAAGTTAAACAACGATATATTATTCAGTACTCAATAAATAATTTTGTGTTTTATCGCGTACTTTATTTTAGATTTATAATTTATATTGTAATTTGAACTTGATAAAAGAAAATATTGATAAGAAAAGATCATTGGAAAAAATATTAATATAAAATAAATATAATATGAACATTCAAATATATCATATGATAAATGTGACAATATAAAAAGAAAAAAGCTTGATCGTTTTTAAATTAAATAAAACAATAATGAAAACGAATAAAATGAACCTTTTTGTTTTTTTTCCAAATGTCATAATAATTTTCTTGTTATATCAGTTTTTATTTCCAATATATTGTTTTGTTAATTTATTCACGTTGATTATGGGTAAATTCAGGGACACTTGTATATATAATAAATATCCATGATAGGCTAACCGAATAAGTTGAGAAATAAACTTCCTTGAACCTCTCGTCGGCAAGAAAGAGGGTGGACAAGCAACCAGGTGGCAAAGGTAACTTTATAACGATCCTACCGAGTTCGCGTATTGCCGCTTTGCTCCCATCTTTGCGGAATATCTCGACTGTAAAAGAAAATGTCTGAGACACGTCATTCTCGGACATCGAGAACGTGTTTATAACTCTACTGGGAAATGTTGGAAACTTTTCAACTCCAAAGGACAATGTAGTTCCTTGGTTGGTTATAGTTTTATTCTTTTTTTTATCAAAGTGATCCTTGCGTAAATATGAAAAATTGAAAATCTAACATAACCTCTTAACGAATAAAACAAACATAACCTATCTTAATCCTTCTTTGCATGATGATGGAAATTTCAATCATAATATTTAGTCAACAAAAAAAGGTACTCAAAAACCCTTGTACTGTATATTTGTTGTTGCTGGCAACTTTTTAAGCGACTATTGCGTACAACAAAACGCAGTTGTCAAAAAATAGCACTAGGACTTTTTTTGAAATATTTTTCCTTTAATCTAGAGCATTAATTACATCACCCTGATTTATTTTAAAAGAAAAGAAAAAATCATGCAAAGAAGGGTTAACGAATAACCAACATAACCTCACTTTGAAACATTTGTAAGAAATTTATATTGGTTTTGTAATTTACCTTGATAACCAGGAACTGGTCGACCCGTGCTAAATTTAGGCAAATAAAAATCGACACCATATCCAAGACATAAAGCAGTTATCGGGTGTCCCGTTTCCGATTGCCACCAATGATTTATTACCGGAACATTGAATATACTTTCAGCCCATAATTTTGTTTCGTAATCGCAATATTCCCCAGCAACGAATATCGTCTGCAATCTAAATCGATCAATTTATTGTACGTATATGATTAACGGATAAATAACTTCAATATTATAATATCTGACTTACGATTTCGTAGAGTATTTTTTACCCAGGGTACAATGAGGATCGGCATGTTTCAAAACTCGTAATACAGTTGGCACGCAGAATAATGCATTTACTTTATGCTCGTCTATTATTCTGTAATGAAATAAAACAAATGTTTCTTATCAGTTAATAAGATGATAATGTGATTAACGATTATTACGATACTATTGTTGAATATTTTGTATAGACCTAAAGTATTGGGTAGAGTCTGGTGTTCTGTCAGGTTTTCCTTCGTACATCACGCTGGTAGCACCATAAACCAAAGGACCATAACAAATATAAGAATGTCCGACAACCCAACCCATGTCTGAAGCAACCCACCAAACCGAATTTTTATTCATCCCGTAAATCGTGTTCATTGACCAGCAAAGTGTTGCTAAGTGACCACCGATAGGTCTTAAAATTCCTTTTGGACGATCTGCGTAATATCAAAGATATTTGTTGGTCAATTAATTGTGTTTTAATTGATTTCAATTAATATTTGTTTTTGTATACCTGTTGTCCCTGATGTGTATAAAATATATAAAGGATCGTTAGCTTCTACCGGAACGCAGGGATGGGGTTTTGCAGTTTTCAATATTTTTTCCCAATCGTACTGATTAGGACGAAGAGGACAAGTCCAAACATTACTCCTTTGAAATATAATGCATTCAGGTTCTTTAACCGATATTAATTCCAGTGCATTGTTCAGCATCGTTGTATACCTGAATTAACGATGAATTAACGATCAAACAACAATTATACAAAATTAGACTTTATCCAAAAGTCATTGTTTAAACATTGTTATTTAACATTAGAATGAAAATTACTTAATAATATTACTAAGTTTAATTATTAGGGAAGTTATTTTTTGGACAGGTTTAATTTAGATGAACAATACATTTATCCGTTGAACGTTTCGTTTCTATTTGAGACTTCCTCAGCAACTTGATAGTTATGTTCATAAGTCAATATAACATCATTTTTATTACAGTCATAAGTTTTCACTATCTTATATATAGAGTCAATTTTTAAAAACGTTATCCTACCATAACTTTTCGAACACTACTATTGTATTTCTATTGTTCATCTAAATTAAACCTGTCCAAAAAATAACTTTCCTAATAATTAAACTTAGTAATAATATTAAAAACATTTTGGATAAGAAAAAAATAATCTTTATTATATTAACATTACTTAATAATTTTATGAGGTTCAAGACCACAACTGGCAATAACGATGACCTTGGGTTCCGCGTGATCTATCCTATTGGCCAATTCGTTAGCAGCGAATCCTGAATTTAAAAAATGATATTAGAATGGAAAAATTTGTTAAATGATGTGAAAGGATTGAAAAATATTATTAAGTAATTTTGTATTACCTCCGAAAACAACCGAATGGATAGCACCAAGTCTAGTAACAGCCAATATGGTAATTATGGTTTCCGGTATAAGTGGCATGTAAATGATAACCTTATCGCCTTTAACGACACCCATATCCGCTAAAGCACCGGCCAGCAACGATGTTTTTTGCAATAATTCATTATAACTAATTTTTCTAATGGTTGATGTTTGAGGGCTATCATAAATGATAGCCGTTTTTTCACCATTACCAGCTTCAACGTGACGATCAACGGCATTGTAACATGCATTCAACTCACCTCCGACGAACCTATCAATTCAACAATTTTTCATTTACTTCGTATCATTTTTTGTGGACGCTTATATGCGGCCTCGGTTTTTTTTCTTTTCGACTAACGCATATTTATAATATAATATATATTATATTTTATAATATATTATATATTTTATTATATTTTATTAATATATATTATATATTATATATATATAATCAGGTTTTTATTGCACAACTTACAAAGTTTTTTACAATGTCTTATCATTATATCACATATAATTATCTCACATTTTTGGCTTGCTCTTAACACACCTCTCGTCT